CTCTTTTCTGCAAAATTTTTAGCCTTTTCACCTCTTATCAGCACAATTCTCAGCAGCTTCTGCTCATTTCAGCAGAGTTGTCAGTCTCTCCACCTCTTCTTTGTGAGAAAGATTTTGGCCCAGTGAGATGAGTAGCCACCTTAAGACCAGAAGGGCCAGGTTCGAATCCTGCTCAGGGCAACATTTTTTCAACTTTTTCAGCTTTTTTCAGCAGACATCTTCAGCGTTAAGGTATCCACACAGCATTTTCGCAGGAAATGCAAATTTTTCTAGTATTACAAGATGTTCCACACATTTTTGACGCTGCACCCTGGTGACAGTATGCAGATACAATATGGGTTATTTAGCCTGCAAAGATCTGCCTTCTGACATGGAGTCGGCTCCACGTAAAAAATTAACATTACCAAAAGTTTAAGATTGAGCCCGCAGAAGCATATTGCTGTAACTGCATGTCTGTCTTTAGTTCACAGTGAACAGAAGCTCAGTTCCCTGGAAAAGCCTCCATCTCTCTGCTGGCAACAATGCAAGTTATGCTCTTTTAAAACAGGAATCGTCTCGTGGAAATAAAGCTACAGAGGTCTCTGTTTCCACCCAGTAAAGTTGTCTCAGCATCACCTTTTCATTTTGATGCAAATTGAGCTAGCTGCAAGTCGAGCAGTTCGGCAGCTGTCCATCTAGCGCGGCTCGCACACGGTGAAAGAATCACTCTGCAGACCACAGGGCCAAATTTAATTAAAAACCAAAATTGGTCAAAATTTGCAAAGGGTTGGGTTTGGTGGGAACCTTGATTTTTGACACGGGGTTTGAATTATCATGCTTGTTAGCTGGTTAACTAATGGGACATTAAGTTTTCTCAGTTTCTACAAAAGCTGTTTCTGAGCTCGTCTCACTCCGTTCAAGCCTCGCCTCTTTTCCGCGGAGCAGCATCTGCTCCCTGCAGTGTCGGGTTAAGATTGGATAGTACAATCGTCAACAACAAGCTACAATAGCAGCTCTGTGTCACCTCAAAGATAAGCACTGTTAAGGCATTTTGATGTCAAAGTTTACTACA